TTTCTTGTCCTCTTTTTTTTTTAGAGTTGTGCCAAACGCAGAGGAACGTTTGCAGTTTTCAGCAGAAACATGAGCAAAGCGGATGAAAACGCCGTTTAGAGGCTCTGTGTGCAGGTGAAACAGGGCTCAAGTCCAACCATCTTAGACTGAGAAACCACCTAAAGCGCAAGAACCCTCTAAAGGTGTTCTGGATTCATCAGCTGATGAGAGGGTTGAGTCAAGAATATAGAAGCTTTTCACGTTTTTTCTAATTGGCTGGGATAATGAATGTGGCATTTTAATCTTCTGAAAGCCGTAATCATCGCTGTTCTAACAAATAAAGCCTGGAATATTTGCACTTGTATGAAATGAGTCTGTCTCACTAATTAGTTTCATTACTTAATTACTGACATAAATGAATTTTCCACCTGATTGTTTTGTTGCCCAAATTCAACTGCAAATATTAAAATTCCTGTTTGAAATCAAATCCTTTTGTTCCACAGCCAAGACCACCACACGTTGCTCCCACGTTGAAACTAATCATTTATTTTTTCTTAACCATCTACATCCTGGTCACTTTAGTTCTACATGTTTTTTTACAGAAGAGTTCCACCACCACCAGCATCACCACCACCAGCAGCAGCACAACCACCACCTGTCTTACATCTCTGCATTCATAGATGGATAGATATTAGAGTTCCTAGATGCCGTTGTATTAATTCAATCTTTTTAGTTAACTCAAATCTAGTATGACTCTAAAAGTAAAACTCAAATCTAGTATGACTCTAAAAGTAAAAGTACTTAGCCTGGCAAGCCAGACTAAATAAATGTATTATTTAGCCTGGCCATGCTCCATTGACGGCTCTCGGTTGTGGGGCGGGTTCTACCGTTGTCTTTCAAATGATCTCCACATTCCACTGGACAATGAATGTGACATACTCTTGTTTCACTCTGTTGCATCATCCCACCCACCAGGCATATAGAGTGCCCTGATTGGCCCACAAAGCGGATAAAGCTCTGTGATTTGTTCACTAAGCAGATAGAGCACTATGATTGGCCCACCATTATGGACCAATCACAGCTCTTTATGTGTTTGAAACTCCTCTAGAGAGCTGTGATTGGCTAGCCAGAGTCCTGGTAGGAGCTGTGGAGGTTCCAATGGAGCATGCCTAGACCAAACTTTGCAAAGCAAGAATTTGGTCTAGTTCACTAGGCTAAAAAGTACTGGAAGTTAAACGCCAATAAGGACAAAAGCCAAAGAGCCACAGCACCACCACACCTGCCTATCCCAACTAAAGGCCATTATGACTCTAAACGTGAGATAGGCTACCCGTTTCAGAGTCTAGTCCATTTTAATGCAGATAAATAAAACCCCTGTGGACTACTGAGCACGTGTTCCGGTGGAATATGTGATGAATAGTTGACTATATTAAGAACATCTGTGTGCTAAAGAATAAAAAAAAAGATCACTAATTACATCCAAGGTTTTTGGCACTGTTGCTAAAGCCCGCATAGTTAAAAAAACTGGATAGTAATAATTAAAAAGAATATTTACATTTAACATAACTCATATCTGACTGGAGTAAACCACGTTACATAAAAGCTCTTGGTGGAAAATATACACACGACTGTAATGGCTCACATAACAATAAGTCGTAGCAGTTTTATTGTATTTTTGTATAAATTCTAGATTTTCCTCTGATTCCTAATATCTAAAATGCAAAACCGCTGTTGTGATCATGGTGAGTTTGCTGCAGGCTGTCGCTGGCGGAACAGAGAAACACAGAGAGAGCAGGCAGGCTGCGAAAAGACTTTAAGGTGTAAAAGCTGCAGCAGACTCCAGAAAAGTAGCATTAATCCAGTTCATTTAGTCAGACACATGCATGCAGGACCATTAGCTGTCATTTGCATAAAAAACAGGCCAAAGAGACAAACCCCAAAACACATAAACCGCGCGTCTGTCTGCTTTTATCTACACAGATTATTAATCTGTATTTACGGAGCATAATTGCAGCTGTTTGGCTTGTTGGGAAGTAATGGAGATTAAGTAGTGACCTGAAAAAAGTCAGTATGTAAAAAGTGTTAATGAGCTCAGCTATATGCTTTCATTTTTAAGTGATATGCCAAGTCATCTGAGAAATGGGAAATTAACTTCAAACTTTGTAATTGTTTTTTTATGATCACCCCTGGTGGGTCCATCTTTCTGGGGAAGTGTGTGATGCAGCAGAGCAGTAATGAATCGGTTCCTGTTGTGTGGTTGGTCGGTCGCAGTGGGACGTTACGTTGCTTAAGGTCACCTTCTCCAGATAAAACACCATTTAATGTCCCCATCAAACTCTATATTTGACTACTGCACTAAAGACACTGGCACCAGGAAGTTACTGAAGGCTTCTTTTAATCTGAAGCTGCTCAGCTTTAAAACGCAGCTGCGTCTTTCTTCTGTTGTTTGTATCTCTGCAAAAGCTTCAGTGCTGTAGGATCAAGATCTCCGTATCTGAGCTGCAACCAGTGACTTTAATGGTCCTGCTGAGTGTGAGCAAACGTCCAGCTGCTCCAGAATACATAATAATAATAATAATAATAAGTAGAAAAGTTGTATTTCACAACATGCTACCATGAAAGAAAAAGTAAAAAAAGAGTACTACAGAAGAGTTAGGCTTGTTATCAAGAGTGAACTCAATGCTGCAAATAAGATCAAAGCCATCAACATTTTAGCTGTTCCAGCGGTTACATACAGTTTTAACATCATCACAAGGACGCTTTCCATAAACTAACCCTGAAACTGCCTTAGAAGCATGGATTGGTTCTGGCACTTCAGTGAAAGCATACAAATATACAACAAAAATATAATAATAATAATAATAACAATAATAATAATAATAATAATTAGATAAATTGCATTTCTTGCAGAATTGCTGTTTGAATGCTGGATAGCTTAAACTGTTAGCTGAATCAGCTTAATAGCTGAACTGAAGCTGAAACTAAGTGTAGAACACACACAACACAGCATGGCTCCTAGCTCTTGGTTCATGCGTTCACACTGGCCGTTGGTTTGAGGGTGAAATCCGGAGGTGAGGGCGACCCGAGCCCCTAGGGCTTCAGCAAACTCCTTCCACACCCCGAAGATGAACTAGGGACCACAATCTGACAAGATCTCCTCGGGGATACCATGAAGACAAAAACATGCTTCATGAGAAGTTGAGCTGTGACTGCAGAGGAGGGAAGAGATTTTAATGGGACAAGGTGACAGGCTTTGAGAAACGGTCTACAATAGTGAGAATGGTGTTGAATCCATGACAGTCAGGTAAACCACACACAGAGACTAAAGCCTGATTTATGCTTCTCCGTCTGCGTCAGTGCGGAGCACACACAACGTTCTTGCGTAGGGCTCTGGCAGGCACGCAAGTACGTACGGAGTCGAGCCCACTTTTTTAAACATCCGCCGAATGAGACGGATTACGCAAGCTTGTGATTGGTCAGGACGCCGCTGTTGTTTACAGCGCCGCCATTGCAACGAGAGCCGAGTTTAACTAGCGGCAGACACGGAGAAGCTTGAAGAATACCTCGCGAAAAAACTCTAAAAATATGAACATTTCATCCTCCCGTGACTGGAGGAGTGAACAGATGCGCAGCAAGCGTTTTATTTGTGGACGGAAATGACAGGAAACGTGGGTTTAGAGGTGAGGAGCGCATGAAGCGGTGGGAGAATGAGAGACAAATATATCCATGTTAAAAGTCTCTTATATACACAAAAAACACAATATAAACACACCATCTTGGACCGATACATGACAGGATACCACAGAACAGTGCTACGCCCTCTGTGGTCCTGCCGGGCAATTGCTTTGCAACATTCCCCAGGAGACGGAGAAGTAAAAGAGCAAAACGCTTCTGTCAATCCGTGCGAGTCTGTCCATTGCGGAGCTGACGGAGAAGCATAAACCAGGCTTAAGGCTGTATGAGACCAGAGCCAAGACGGAGTGGGTAAAGGACTTAACAGACCTGCTGGTGGACGATTGTCTCCATTTTGTTGGGCGCAGGTATGGCAACCCAATATGTAGTTCTTCACATCCTGGAATATGGATGGCCACCAGGAGGTACGTTTTATAAGGGCTATTGCGTCCCACTCCAGGATGGAGGGCGAACTTGCCGGTGTGAGCACAATAAACGACCTTGCTCCTCAGAGGTTGTGGTACAAAGAGTTTTCCTGGAGGGCCACTACCTGGACCAAGGCTCGTCTTGAGTGACTCCACTACTTGGTCTCTTATTTCCCAGCTGACCCCTCCAACGACGAGGGCAGAAGGTAGAATAGTGGTGGGTTCGGAATCCCGGTATGGAGCATACTGTCTCGAGAGGGTGTCGGGCTTGGTGATTTTAGGACCTGGACGGTGGGAGATCACAAAGTTGAAACGCGAAACGAATAGAGACCACCTGCATTGGCGAGGTTTGAATCTCTTGACCTCCTTCAGATACACCAAGTTCTTGTGGTCGGTCCAGATGATGAAGGGTTGCTCAGCGCCCTCCAACCAATGTCTCCATCCCTCTATAGTCAGTTTAACAGCGAGTAGCCCTCTGTCCCCAACATCGTACCTGCTCTCGGCAGGTTCTAGGCGGCGTGAGAAAAAGGCACAAAAAGGGTGGAGGTGATGATCAGAAGGGGATACCTGAGACAAAAAAGCTCCGACCCTGGTGTCAGAGGCGTCGACCTCAAGGGTGAACTGCTGCCGGGCATCCGGTCTGTGAAGAACAGGAGCGTTTGTGAACCTTCTCTTTAATGCCTGAAAGGCTGTGTCCGCTTCTAGAGACCAAATGAAAGGCTTGATTACAGAAGTTCCTGTGTTGAGTCAGCTGAGGAGCGATTTCCAGCTCCCTGTAGCTGATTTTGCGTCAGTGGTGAGCGAGACCTGGGAGTTCCTGATGTCTCTTGTCAATAGAGATTGCCAACCTGATCAGTTCTTCCAGGGACCGGGGTTCAGGACATAAGGCCAGCTGGTTACGAACCCGGTCGTTGAGGGCCTCTG